ACCGCCCGCGCGCGCGAAGAAGGCCGACCGCGCGCCCGCGCGGGCCCCCGAGAAGGCGCCGGCCAAGGAGCCGAGGAAGCCGACCAAGGCGGAGCGCAAGGCCGCGAACCGCGAGCGCGACCGCGTCGCCAAGGAGGCCAAGGACGAGCGCGACCGCCAGGCCGCCGCGGCGCGCGCCGCGCGCCAGGCCGCCGCGCCGCCCGCGCCGCCGCCGCCGCCGCGCGCGCCGGCCGCCGCGCCCATCGCCCGGCCGCGCGCGCGCGCGCCGCCGCGCGCGCCGCCGCCGCCGCCGGCCGACGACGCGGGCGACGACGACGACGACGACCTGCTCCGGTCGGCCATGGAGTTCTCCCTCGACGACATGGCCGACGAGCCGCCGCCGGCCCCCGCGCCGCCGGCGCCGCGGCGGGGCGACCCGCGCGTCGCCGCGCTCCTCCGGCGCCGCGGCCTCGGCGCCTACGGACCCGCGCTCGCGGCGCACGAGGTCGACGTCGACGCGCTCCGTCTCATGGCGCCGGGCGACTTCGCCGACGTCGGCGTGCCCCGCGACGCCGGCGAGGCCATCCTGGACGCGCTCCGCGCGGACGACGCGGGCGGCGCTCCGTGGGCGAAGGGATGGTACTAGCCGCGGCGCGTCGTCCGCTAACCGACCCCCGGGTTTCGATCTCGCACGGCGGCCCTTAGAAGCGCGCGTCCCAGCCGCGCTCGAGGCGGCGCTTGCTCATCTTGACGCGCGCTCTCGGCCGCTTGAGGACGACGCCCGTGGGCGCGAGGGCCTCGCGGCTGCCCTCGCCGAGGCGCGCGATGCGGTCCCGCGCCAGCGGCGACAGGGACCGCGCCGGCGGCGGGCGCGGGCCGATCCATCGCACGAGCTTCTTCTTCTCCGGGGACCGGGGCCGGCGCCGCGACCGCGCGGCGGCGGCCTCGTCGTCGAGCCACCGCTTCACGCCCTCCCAGCACCGCGCCGGGTAGGCCGGCTCCGGCGCCGGCGACGCGCCGACGGCGACGAGCGCGGACGCCGACTTGGACGCCGCGGACGCGCTCGCGGGCCGCGCGCGGCCGCGCGGCCCCCTGCGATCGGGCGACCGCGCGGCCGCGGCGGACTTGGGCCGCTTGCGCCGCCGGGGCGGGGCCGCGTTGTCGACGGCCGTCAGCGCGAAGACGCCGCCGCCGTCCGCGGGCGGCGCCTCGGCCGCGGGCGGCGCCTCGGCCGCGGGCGGCTCCTCGGCCGGCGGCTCCTCGGCCGGCGGCGCGTCGGCCGGCGGCGCGTCGGCCGCGACGTCCGCGGGCGGCGCCGCCGCGGCCTCCTCGGCCGCGGGCGCGGCGGGCCGCGGCGACGGCTCCGGCGCCGGGTCCGCGGCGCGCGGCGACCGCGGCGTCGGCGCGCGCGCCGCGTCGTCCGCCGCGGCGCCGTCCGCGGCGGCGTCCGCCGGCGCGCCCTCGCCGACCTCCTCGCCGTTGAGCACGAGCACGTCGCGGTCGTCGTCGTCGTCGTCGTCGGGCGCCGGGTTCTCGTCGTCGTCGTCGTCGTCGTCGTCGTCGTCGTCGGCTTGCTTCGCGGGCGTCGCGCCGGGAGTCTCGGGCTCGAAGTCGTCGCCGTCGCCGTAGTCGTCGTCGGACTCGGACTCCTTGCCGGGCGTGGCGACGGCCCCCGCGGCGGGCGCGGGCGCGCCGCCGCCGCCGTCGTCGTCGTCGTCGAGGAGGCCGTCGAGCAGGTCCCCGAGGCCGTCGTCGAGCGCGACGGAGATGCGGCGCAGGCTCTCCGACTGCACGGCGTCCTCGACGACGCCGCCGAAGCCCGGCGCGGGGATGTGCGGCTCGTCGAGCACGCCGTAGGCGCCCTCGACGGCGTCCTGGAACCGGCGGTGGCGGCCCGCGGCCTCGGGCTCGGGCGCGGCGCGCCGCCCCGTCCACGGCCGCTCGTCCTGGTCCGTTTCCGCGGTGAACTTCTCGAGCGCGAGCTGCGACGCGGACTTGGCCGGGGACGGCGCCGCGTCGTCGTGGCGCACGTCCGCCTCGACGGCGTCGTCGCGGAAGTCGCCGTCCTCGTACTCGAGCGACAGCTTGCCGTCCGTGACCGCCGCAACACGCGCTCTGTAATAAAGCCCGTCGTCGGGCCAGAGGGCGTCGACGTAGTCGCCGACCTTGCTCAGGCGCCGCCCGCCCGAGCCGTAGCCTTTTGATGGACCCAGGAAGCTCGCGCCGCGGCCCTCGTCCTCGTCGTCTCCCATGTTGCTCGGCAGGGCTGCCCACCTCGGACACCGCGCTGCCCACCTCCCGCGCGCAGCGCCGCGCGACGTGATGCTTGTGTGAAGCTTGAAGTCGATGTTGCCTGTGGAGCTCGAGAAAATCAAGGGGATATAAATCTAGATGGGGTGGCAGGCGAAACGCGAGGTCCTCGTACTACTCGGGGCCGCCGCTAGCGTTTTCTTTCTTCTTCCACGCCGCAGCGCGCGGGCTGAGTGCAACGATGGCGGGTCGCGCGGCGCGGCGCGGCTGCGGAACCCTTCGACGGGGCGGGGCAGCGAATTTGGGCTGCTGAGATCATTGCGTTGGCTCGCGAGCGCGACGGTTGTTCGGCGGCGGGACGAGAGGGCGGCGGTGTGAGTCGAGTGTGCGATATTTTCTTGTCCTTAGAGGTTGGAGGCGCCCTATGGGTACCCGCGGGGGGCTCGAAACCTTCAGGACACACTTTTCCCACGATCTCAGAGCCTGCGCAGCCCCGGCGCCGACGGTGTCGCAACACAGTTTCTCGGGCAGCGTGCGGGCATTCGAGGTCGAGAACTTTTCGTGTCCTGAGATGCTCGAGCCCATCCATAGGTACCAACGAAGGGCTCTGCAGCGCCAGCAGACGGTCCACGACCATCATCATCGCGAACACGTCCAAGAGCTGCCCCAAAACCCCCTTCCTCGCGTGGCGCCAAACCGGACACGGTGCCCTCCAGCGCGCCTCGGTTTCCTTCCACCGGACCCGAACCGCCCGGACGCGTAAGTCTTGTCGCGGGCGCCTTCGCGGGGGAGCGAATACCGCTGCGGTCCGTCTGGGGCCGCGTCGACGACGGCGGCGTCGAAAAGTCCCCGGCCAAAAGTCGTCAACATTGCCCCAAAACGATGGGTTGCAGTACGAGGAGCTCGCGCAACATAATCTCGTTGAGCTGCCACCCCATACTATTTATTACCCCTTGAGAAAATGGCCAACAAAATTGGCTGCAATCTAATGCTCGCGCTGCTCGCGCTGCTCGTCGTCGGCTGCGATGCCGCCATCGTCACGAGGCGCGGCTTCGCGCTGCTCGTCGTCGTCGGCTGCGATGCCGCCATCGTCACGAGGCGCGACTTCGTCGGCGGTGGCGCGGCGGCGGCGGCGGCGTCGCGTCCGACGGCGGCGTCGGCGGCCGTGGACGCGCGCGCGCCGCTCCTCGCGCGCGGCGGCCTCGCCGTGCCGAGGGTCGGCTTCGGCCTTTACAAGACGAAGCCCGAGGAGACGGCGGCGGCCGTCGCGCTCGCGCTCGAGGCCGGCGTGCGCCACTTCGACGCGGCCGCGGCCTACGGCAACGAGGCGGCGCTCGGCGAGGCGCTTCGCGGCGGCCCAAAGTGCTTCGTCGCGACCAAGGTCGCGCCCAGCCGCGGCGCGCGCGACGCGGTCAAAGCCGCCGCCGATCGTCTAGGGTTCGCGCCGGACTGCGTCTACGTGCACAGCCCCCTCGCGCCGAGGGCGGAGCGGCTCGCCGCGTACGAGCAGCTGCTGGACGCGCGGCGCGACGGCCTCTGCGGCGCCGTCGGCGTCGCGAATTTTGGAGTGAGACACCTTGGCGAGCTACCCGAGCCGCCGGCGCTCGTCCAGCTCGAGCTGTCGCCCTACAACCAGCGGCGCGCCGAGGCCGCGTGGGCGACGAAGAACGGCGCGGTCGTCACGTGCGCGGCGTGGTCCAAGCTCTCCGGCGCCTACAACTGGGGCTCCGACGCCGCGTTCAAGGCGCTCAACGCGTGCTGCAAGGCGCACGCGGCGACGAAGGCCCAGGTCCTCGTGCGCTGGGCGGTCCAGCGCGGCTTCGCTCCGCTGCCGCGGTCGACGGCGGCCGACGCCGCGCAGCGCCTCGCCATCGCGCAGAACGCGGCCGCGGGCGTCGAGGACGGCGACTTCTGGCGCGGGGGACCGCTCTCGCGGGCGGAGATGAAGGCGCTCGACGCGCTCGAGGACCACCTCGCGAGCGGCAAGCTCGGCCGGACCGACGGCTGGACGGCCGACGACGTCGCGGGGCCGGGCTGGGACCCGACGACCTATGTCGACGGGTAACTGAGCTCTTAATAGAGGTAGGATGCGATGGCGGCGTTGAGGACGTGCGGGACGGCGGGGAAGTCGAGGCGCTTGAAGTGCCAGTTGCGCTTGCAAACGAGCGCGACCACAGCCAGCTTAGCTTTGCGCTGGGCACCGGCGCTGGCAATCGTTGGGGCGCCGGCGCTGGCATTGATTGAGCAAAACGTAACGACAACTTGGCCGCGCCACGCCAGCTCGACAAGCGCTTCATCGCCTGCGCCGCGAGCCAGCGCGATCGCAACAGCATTGTCGTCGTTGTTGCTGATGAGGTTCAGTAGCGTCTCACTGGCATAATCCGAGCCAGCGATGCCGCTCTGGGCAAAACGGAGGAGTGGTGGAATAGCCCCGGCCTCCCGAATCGCGACCTTACTCTCGGCATCGCCCACCGCGAGGGGGCACAGCAACTTAGCGGCGGTGCGTTTCGCGGTCGCGCCGCCGCTCAAAAACGGGACAAGCAGCGGGATGCCATCGGCCTCCCGAATCGCAGGAATCGCAGCCTGGCGCCCGTCGTTTCCGGTCGCGAGGGTGCCCAGCAGCACCAAGGTATTCAATTTTTGCTCCGAGCTGCCGCGCTTGAGCAGCGCGACTAGCGGTGGGATGACGCCAGCCTTGCGGATCGCGTCAAGCGCCAGGGCGTAACGACCCCCTGGATAAGCAACATACATACGACCAGGGCCGGTCTCCCCCTCTTTTTCAAGGAAGGCCTGCAGCTCATCTACGTGCCAGTGGGCATATTCATCGCCGCGCCGCAGCGCGGCGACCGCTGCCGCGAGAGGGTCATCGTCCATCTCGGCAAGGGGATCTTCAAGTATCCCCTTGATCTCGGCCAATGTTTACCACTTCAACAATTGAAGCTCTCCAGATCAGTCAGGTTTTGGCGTTCAAGGTGTAAGAGAGCGTCGGTGCTGGCAGGGGCGAGCAGCGCTGCAGCAGAGATGCGCGCCCGCAGCGCATCGCTACTCGCTCTCTTTTGCACCAATGTTATCGCATTGCAAGCGCCGCGGCAAAAACTCGCCCCGACGCCCGCGCGCGGCCGCGCACCAGCAACGCGCCCTGGGCACCACCCGCACTCGCAGCAGCCGAAAGGGCGCCGCCGCCCGCCGCCGCCGCCGCGCCACCCTGGCGCGCCGTCGCCGTCGGCGCGCTCTGCGCCGGTGTGCTCGCCGCCGCGCCGGAGCTCGCGGCCGCGAACTCGGACGCCGTCGTGACGTCGATCGTCGCGCCGGATCTGACGGACGGCGACGTGGCCATGAGCGGCTTCAGCCACGACGCGCTCGTCTTCCTCGCGGCCACCGTCGTCGTGACGCCCCTGTCCCGCGTGCTCGACGTGTCGCCGATCCTCGGGTACCTGGTCGCGGGCTGCGCCTTGGGTCCGGCCGGTCTGAACACGTTCCAGGACCTGGCCGTCGACGACGAGCTCGCGGAGATCGGGATCCTCTTCCTCTTATTCGAGCAGGGCCTGGAGCTCACGCTCGAGCGGCTCGAGGCGCTCAAGGTCTACGCGTTCGGCCTCGGCACGGCGCAGGTGCTGCTCTGCAGCCTGTGCTTCGGCGCGTTCCCCTTTTTGGGGGGCGTCGAGTTCCTGGAGAATCTCGTGGGCGCGCGGCCGGAGCTCGTCGCCATCGCGCGGCCCGACGAGGCGCTGGTCATCGGCGCCGCGCTCAGCCTGAGCTCGTCGGCGTTCGTTTTACGATTGCTCCAGGAGAAGAAGCAGTCCGACGAGAAGTTCGCGCTCGCGTGCCTCGGCGTGCTGCTTCTCCAGGACGTCGCCGTCGTGCCGCTCCTGGTCTTGTTGCCCATCATCGAGGACACGCAGGTCCTCGGCTTCGACGCGGACCTGTGGTCGCTCGCCGCGTCCGCGCTCTCGTCGACGGGCGCGCTCCTGGGCGCGCTCCTGGGCGGCCGCGTCGTGCTGCGGCGCGTCTTCGCGGCCGTCGCCGGCGCGCGGTCCTCGGAGACCTTCGTGGCGCTGTGCCTGCTCGTGGTTTTGGGCACGGGCGCTTTGACGGACGCGCTCGGCCTGTCGTCGACGCTCGGCGCGTTCGTCGCGGGCGTGCTCCTGGCGGAGACGAACTACCGGGACCGCATCGAGGCGGACATCCAGCCCTTCCGGGGCCTGCTCCTGGGCCTCTTCTTCGTGACCACCGGCGCGGCCGTCGACGTCGCGCAGGTCGCGCAGGAGCTGCCGACGGCCGCGGCGCTCCTCGTCGGGCTCCTCTCGATCAAGACGCTCGTGGTCTTCGCCTTCGGGACGCTCGCCGTGGGCCTCGACCGCCGCGACGCCGTGCGGGCCGCGCTGCTCCTCGCGGGCGGCGGCGAGTTCGCGTTCGTCGTTTTAACGCTCGCGGCGCGCCTCGACGTGCTCCCGCCGGACCTCGCGCGGTTGGACACGGCCGTCGTCGTGCTGTCCATGGCGCTGACGCCCGCGCTCGGGTCCCTCGGCGACGCCATCGCGGAACCGGTGGGCGCGCGACGAC